TCCAATATAGTAACCCCACTATCATATCTACGCCGATGTGTGAGACGGGTACACTGTACCAGCAATCATTTAAATAGCTAATAGAAGTGTTACCACTTGGCTCTTAAAAAGCCGCGCCAATAAGGTTTCGCAACTTCTTCCCAAAAATCCAATTACGCTTTGGCGAGAATATTAGGGTCTGCCCTCCGTGTATATCATATAAATGATACACGCAAAAGTAGGGTCGTCTTCCAAGTACCTTATGTATCATTTCAATGATACGTGTAACTACCCAGGTTTTCCAAAGTCGGACTGACTTCCAATATAGTAACCCCACTATCATATCTACGACGGTGGGAGAGTAAAAAAAATCCCTTCACCCTTTGGCGAGTACTCTTTCTCGCAAAGGCGATTATGGACTGCCCTCCGTGTATATCATATAAATGATACACGTAAACGTCGGGTCGTCTTCGGAGTACCTTATGTATCATTTCAATGATACGTGTAACTACCCAGGTTTTCCAAAGTCGGACTGACTTCCAATATAGTAACCCCACTATCATATCTACGCATGTGTGAGACGATAAAAAAAATCCCTTCACCCTTTGGCGAGTACTCTTTCTCGCAAAGGCGATTATGGTCTGCCCTCCGTGTCTATCATATAAATGATACACGTAAACGTCGGGTCGTCTTCGGAGTGCTTTTTGTATCATTTCAATGATACGTGTAACTACCTAGGTTTTCCAAAGTCGGACTGACTTCCAATATAGTAACCCCACTATCATATCTACGCATGTGTGAGACGGGTACACTGTACCAGCAATCATTTAAATAGCTAATAGAAGAGTTACCACTTGGCTCTTAAAAAGCCGCGCCAATAAGGTTTCGCAACTTCTTCCCAAAAATCCAATTACGCTTTGGCGAGAATATTAGGGTCTGCCCTCCGTGTCTATCATATAAATGATACACGTAAACGTCGGGTCGTCTTCGGAGTACCTTATGTATCATTTCAATGATACGTGTAACTACCCAGGTTTTCCGAAAGTCGGACTGACTTCCAATATAGTAACCCCACTATCATATCTACGCATGTGTGAGACGACAAAAAAAATCCCTTCACCCTTTTGGCGAGTACTCTTTCTCGCAAAGGCGATTATGGTCTGCCCTCCGTGTATATCATATAAATGATACACGCAAAAGTCGGGTCGTCTTCGAAGTACCTTATGTATCATTTCAATGATACGTGTAACTACCTAGGTTTTCCAAAGTCGGACTGACTTCCAATATAGTAACCCCACTATCAAATCTACGCATGTGTGAGACGATAAAAAAATCCCTTCACCCTTTGGCGAGTACTCTTTCTCGCAAAGGCGATTATGGTCTGCCCTCCATGTATATCATATAAATGATACACGCAAAAGTAGGGTCGTCTTCCAAGTACCTCATGTATCATTTCAATGATACGTGTAACTACCTAGGTTTTCCAAAGTCGGACTGACTTCCAATATAGTAACCCCACTATCAAATCTACGCATGTGTGAGACGATAAAAAAAATCCCTTCACCCTTTGGCGAGTACTCTTTCTCGCAAAGGCGATTATGGTCTGCCCTCCGTGTATATCAAATAAATGATACACATAAACGCCGGGTCGTCCTCGGAGTGCTATTTGTATCATTTCAATGATACGTGTAACTACCTAGGATTTCCAAAGTCGGACTGACTTCCAATATAGTAACCCCACTATCATATCTACGCCGATGTGTGAGACGGGTACACTGTACCAGCAATCATTTAAATAGCTAATAGAAGTGTTACCACTTGGCTCTTAAAAAGCCGCGCCAATAAGGTTTCGCAACTTCTTCCCAAAAATCCAATTACGCTTTGGCGAGAATATTAGGGTCTGCCCTCCGTGTATATCGTATACCCGACTTTTGCGTGTATCTTTGATATGATAGACACGGAGGGCAGACCATAATCGCCTTTGCGAGAAAGAGTACTCGCCAAAGGGTGAAGGGATTTTTTTATCTGTATCTGTATCTGTATAGCCGGTATAACCGCCTTTCGGCGTAACACACCAGCTAGGTATACAACCCGACGACCCGACGTTTACGTGTATCATTTATATGATATACACGGAGGGCAGACCCTAATATTCTCGCCTAAGCGTAATTGGATTTTTGGGAAGAAGTTGCGAAACCTTATTGGCGCGGCTTTTTAAGAGCCAAGTGGTAACTCTTCTATTAGCTATTTAAATGATTGCTGGTACAGTGTACCCGTCTCACACATGCCGCAGATATGATAGTGGGGTTACTATATTGGAAGTCAGTGCGAATTTGAAACCTAGGTAGTTACACGTATCATTGAAATGATACATAAGGTACTTCGAAGACGACCCGACTTTTGCGTGTATCATTTATATGATACACGCGGAGGGCAGACCTTAATCGCCTTTGCGAGAAAGAGTACTCGCCAAAGGGTGAAGGATATTTTGGAAGAAGTTGTAAAACCGTAACGGCTTTGCAAAGGTCACCTTTCTAGTTGATGATTATTTTATACTTATGTTTAAATCATGTGATTTCTGTATCCCACGTACTCATGCATGGTGTCCTATCAGCCTATATGGGCTGGGCGACAATATTCATACACTTCTATGCACTCCGAAGAAGCCTGACTTGCATGATTGCAATCATATACACGGGTGACGATTTTGCAACGATTGAGATTTTTAAAGTCGGACTGTCTTCATGCTGTCTAACAACAATTTTGGTAAAAATTAGGTAATTTTCGGGGCGCAATGTGATTCAGGTGAAAGTCGTGTTGTCGTCGACGTGTTTGCAACGATACGAGGCAAAATGTATCGGCTATCGAATGATTGCTAGCGTACTCGTTTTTACACATGTGCATACATGTCAGTGGCTCGTTCAGTTGAAGCAAAAGAGCCATATATATAACGTTAATTCTTGAGCATTCTTTCCCGAAAGGGTGACTATTGCGCAGTACACTGCCCTTGGCTGTTGGCAGCGGCCCTTCGCCGGGTAATGAGGTCGCTGGGCGTGACCCGGAAACAGATGCAACCAGATACCGCGAAACCCCCATAGGGTGCGTATTTTGACGGAAATTCAATGGCGGAAACCTCGCCGAAAAATGGAAATGAGTCAACTTTGACGCTACAAAGCTCGTTTTTGTGTACAAGTGTGATCTTCAAGTGAACTTCCCGAGGTTCCCTGACTTGTAAGGATTGCAACGACATATATTTTAGCCTGGCTTTCCCGATTCTGACTGCGCTATGATAAATTCTGTGAACCATGCTAAGGACTCATTTCGGCGGTTAACAGCCTGGAGAACGCCGCCATGTTGGATTTAGTTCTCGTACCCAGGGTGCGGTCTAAAACAGTCCTGGGTACGACTACTCTCCAAGCAGAGGTTGTGGGGGAATGATCGTTACCTTTTTATATATTTGAGTGAGTGAGTGAGTGAGTGAGTGAGTGAGTGAGTGAGTGAGTGAGTGAGTGAGTGAGTGAGTGAGTGAGTGAGTGAGTGATCGAGTGAGTGAGTGAGTGAGTGAGTGAGTGAGTGAGTGAGTGAGTGAGTGAGTTTTTTTTGTCGCTAAACCCAACCGGCGGTGGCCGCGGACCTTCTCTGGCTAATGGATACTGCCTGGCCAATTTGATACTGTCTTTCTGCCACCGAGAGGGATCTGCTTGGAGATTAGGGTACGACGTCAATGAGTGAGTTGTAATACCTTCGTGCATCTACCTGTCGATAAAATAAAGGACGCACTAGTATAACTGATATATGATGTTGGTACTTCATTCTCCACAGTGGATACAGTGATATCAAAGTATCTTTACAACGGAGAGCTCGTTGGTGATGTCTTGTATGGTCTATCATGTTAACGTTACATGTGCAGGGGTGCCGGAGTATACAGTGCAATTTTACCGAATACAGTGCAATTTTACTAGTACACAGCAGGGGTTTTTCTAGAAAAAAATTAGCATGAGGGAGCAGATCACAAGCATGGCAAGGAACGAAGCAACCAAGGGGGGATTTTTCAGTTTGTAATGCTAGAATGCATTGTTGTATTGTTTTTACATCTTTACTGGGAAAAGACCATTTTGAGGAAAACTAAATGGTGTGGAAGTAGCCACATAGGGTTCAATTGGAAAATTGGTATGAGGGAGCTGGCTGGTTACATGAGGGAGCAGCTCCCTTATTCCCCTGTTTAGAAAACCCCCTGCACAGTACAATTTTTAGGCACACGCCCCGGCTTTTGGATCGGGAAAATAAAGTCCCAAAAGTCCCTGTCTACTCTGCAATTATATTTCAAGCGCCTGGGAATGAACATAAGCAAAATAAAGTTGACTTCAAGTTGAAGTCATACAATACTTCCCCAAAAAACAGGTTGGGACAGTTCATTCTCATTTCGGGACAATTGGAATCTATTTTTGGGACAGTGCTGGGACAATAGGAGGAAAAGTTAATTTCGAGCCCTGTACTTAGTGTAACAATATTCAAGAAATTATGGAGTTCCGTGAAAAGGATGATTGTTATGCATGGGTATGCAGAAAAAAGTATTTACATAGCCAATTAGGTATTGTTTTTGTGGTTATCGTTGTGGTTTAAATACCTGCTGTATGCACATGTTTTTAATCTTCTCAGTATTGCATGGCGTTGATATTTACAATTTATAATGACAGTAATATATGTGTGTGTGTGTGTGTGTGTGTGTGTGTGTTATTTTTTTTTCATGATAGCTTAATAGCTTCATGAACAGGGTTCTTGATCTATCTGGGGGTATGGATATTATGCTTATTTCAGACTGTAGCCTGGTTACCAAACTCGGGAGCTATAATAGGTTTGGTAACCAGCCTATTCCGACTGTACTAGTGACTAGTTTTTTTTCAGTCTCTAACTGTGTCGTGCTCGGTTATTTTGGCACGTTGTTTCGATGCAATATCAGCTTAAGGATCGCCAATTTGATCCAAAGGTGTGATTACGTACGGTTCCATGTCATCTTCGTCTTGGTGTTCAGGCGATGGAGCCAAATGCAAGTCGTCGTTCATTTCTTCGTTGCTGCTGATGTCGTCCAAATCCACACTGCTGTACGGTTCGATGCGCAGGTCGTTGTTGATGGCATCAAGAGGTACCGTGAGGTATGGTGTCAGCTCCGAGTTCTCTTCAGGTCCTTCTATCGTTTCTGTGTCCTGATTGGCGCTGTTGGCAGATGATGCAGACGTCTTGTACATCCGATTGGAGATCATCTGAGATGTGTCGATGGTGAATCCGTGTAGTTTATGGACGGGATTCTGTCTTGCCGAATCCTCCTCAGTTTCTTCTGTCATAAGTGTGTTCTGATTGGCGCTGTTGGCAGATGATGCAGACGATGTGTACATCTGATTAGAGATGAGTAGAGATGTATCGATGATGACTTTGTGCCGTTTGTTGACCGGATTCTGTCTTGCTGAACCCTCTTCAGTTTCGTCTGTCTCTTCCTTGTCCCTGTCGTCACCAGTGGCAGATCCGGAGGGTTGGTACATCCGATTGCTGATGAGTTGAGTACTGATGATGACGCCTTGCTGCCCGTGGACCGGATTTTGTCTTCCCTTTGACACGTGTCGCTTGTACATTATAACCGCAACTGCCGTCCCACCTAGCAGAACTATCACGCCGACGGTAAGTCCGATAGGTATGTAGATATAGTCCGTACGAGATTGCTGTCCGTCATCAAGATTCTTCTCCAAAGTGATGCTGCGGGTACTGTCCATGATACCAGATGTTGTTTTCTTCGCCTGTTCCGTGCAGGCAGAAGTTGTTTTTCGAATGTTTTCTGTCGGAAAGTTGGTGGG